TTAATACATTTTTTGAAATAGTAAGCATTGTTTGTAAATATTCCAATTTAATACAATTGTAAATAATCTTTAATATTATCTTAGAAAACAGCGGAAAGATGCTTCAATCTGCCAATGACCTTAATAATCTTTTGAAACCTATTGAGAAAAGATTATGAAAAGAGGGCTTAAAAAAAGGCGATTATTTGTGCATTAAGTAATATTGTTCAACTGATTAATTTACACTTATAATATAGATTTCAGTGGAATAAATATTTTCTTGATCTTTAATATTGATTTAATGGCCACCCCGCTATTAATTTCTGCCAGAACTGTATGTAGGAATCCAATGATAATTTTGCGCGTGTTTAGGAAAGGTTTTTCATTCAAATTAAGAGATTAATAAAAGAAAGAAGAAACCATTTAAAAACTACCATAATTCTTGGCAAATAGTATCCACGTTAGTATATCACACCTTGATTTGTATCCGAAAATATTATGACAAACAGTTTGTTAGATTACAAATTAACGTTATTTGGTTTTTCTACGTTATCGTTATTCAGGAATATAATGCGTTCATCGATATTATCAAAGTAATTGCAAATGGAAACATTAGTCTATTAGTATTTTTGTATAAATAAAATTAAATATAATTAAAAAATATAATTTAAGCTTAGCTTTCAAATGATCTAATTGGCCCTAAATTATCATATAACAATAGAATTTTTTGTGCGTGCGTATGAACAACATCCATAATGCACGTAATCCTGAATGGACGGGTATATGCACCGCTTGATAGTTACTATTGTATTTTTAACGTCATAACATCATTATTTTATAATTACATCATTAATGTCATGATTTTGGCATTGCATGCATTCGGGATGTTGCACTTTCGATTTTGTGAATTCGGGATGTCATTCATTTGGGAATTTTGAACCGTTCATTCAGGATTTCGTTTGTTGGTCTTATGAATTGTCAGAACTGTGATTTTGGAATGTAGTACCGAGTCCCCTTTTACATGAATCCCTCTCTTAAAATACCCTCCACCTGACAGAATACCCACCGGGGTACTAATTAAGATTTATCCCCCAGGAATGTAACTATTTGCCGAAATTACGGACTCCAGTATAAACTAGAGGTGCAGACATTAACTTAAGGCTTCACGTAACTAGGTTGCAACCAAAATATTAATAAGATTAAAGCTGCTGACCATAATTATTTTGACATATGTAACAAATAATTACGAAGGTGATCATAATTACGTCAAATATGGCGCAAGGGAGTTGTAACTCTCGGAGAATGTCAAACTCTATACTAAATAAACTATTTGATAGACGCAATTGTTTTGGTACCCCTTTGAGGCATCCAGAACAATATGCATTTTAATTTTAATTCAAGGCTTTACGTAACTAGACTGTAACCAAAATATAATAAGGCTAAAGCTGCTGACCATGATTGTTTTGATATATGTAACAAATAATTATGACAATGATCATAATCACGGCAAGCAACTCTAAATATGGCGCAAGGGAGTTCTCAGAGCCCTATACTAAACTATTTGATAGACCCATCACACAATTGTTTTGGGTACCTCTTTGAGGCGTCCAGGACTATATGTACTTTCATTTTAACTCAATACTAAGAGTATTCTTTGTCATTGATTTTGTGTACTTATGGAGGATTACGAGTTGCTTTGGTAAGAGTTGTTTTACATACGAACTTGTTTTTCGACGATATCAAGAATAATGAAATAAAGTCATGTATGTATGCTATGCTAAAATTTAAAGTTTAATCTTGCTATGTGTATTTTTTAGGGAATTAATCGTGAATCCCTTTTTTTACCTTTAAAATAATAAAAAAAAATCTCGTTTTAGGGTTAGGGAGGGAAACCAAAGAAATGTCTTCAATGTGTATAGACAGGTATTATGCATTCTTTTTTTTTTTTTTGAGAGTACAAATTATAAAGTTTTACCAATAAGCGTTAGAATCTAAAATCTTGATAAACCCAAAATCTTAAAACCCAACATTTCCATTATTATTATGCACAATTCCTGATAAGCATAATCAATAAAGAAAATTTCGGTTCTGGTTTTGGCTTTGTCCGATTTCTTTGTTAGACAGACCAAAAGATCGTTACATTGGAATTCCAAGATTCAAGCCCACGGATAAAGTTACCGTTTTTTACACTACATTGTTGCAATTTGAATTAGGAAATTCATATACTCTGTCAATTTGATTTAACTTATAGAGATGCCATTTTATGGAAAGAAATCCCATCACCATTCACTATATTGAGATAAACTTTATCTTATCTTGGTTGTCTATGTATTGTAAATGAAACTTTCTTTCTCGTCTCTATAGATTTTAAGGTTATAAACAATTAACGTTGAATCATTAAATCATTAATTCAATTAGAAAGACGTAAAGTCCGATGAATAAGATTTTTACACAACTCAAATTCATTATGTGCAACGCCGAAAACTGTTTAAAAGTTCGAAACCGTTTAGAAGTTTTGAAGAGATTCTAAAACCGTTTAGAAGTTTTGAAGAGATTCTAAAACCGTTTAGAAGTTTTGAAAAGTATGTGCAACGCCAAAGTTTTATCGGAAGACCCAATTATAGATTAAATGGCAACGAGACTGTAAAATTAAAGTTTTTGTTTTTGGATGAATACTTCGTATAGGTAGCGCAATTTTGTTAAATCATTGTTTTGACTTTGAAATAAAATGAAGTGTATACAATGTTATCTTGTTAATGGATCACTGTTTACACAACTTAAATCCATTGTGTGCAACTGAAGTTTATCAGAAAATCCAATTACAGATAAAAGTGGTAGATAAGAATAATAAACTTTGAATGAATACTCCGTAAAGTATGATTAGCGTATTAGTATTGTTAGATTTTAAAACATCATTGTTTCATTTTTGGGAACTTAGAGACTAGCCAGATCACTATGACATATAGTTGTGCTCATGTTAACATTAAATAATTGAGAGATTTACATCAAATGGTTTTATTTTGCGTTTTGTTTGTGTTGTGTTAATTTTTATTTTTTGGAATTATTTCAAAAATAAATTAATAAAGAAAAAAATTTACAAAAAAAAAAAAAGAAAAAGTTGAAAACACACAAACAAATTATTACTAAGAAAAAAAAGTAAAAAAATTCATTATTATGAGTATAATAAATAGTAAGCCTTACTTATAAAGTGTTAAACTAGGGAAATGGAAAATCTGTACACCGTAAATTCATATACTGGATTGAATGAGTATTAAATTATAGCTCTTAAATATTCTGGAGAATTATAAGACTTAAAAAAAAACAAAAATAAACACGTTTGAAACTCGAAGAAAAATATATTACTAAGAAAAAGTAACATGAAATATTATTATGAATTATATAAATGAATTAAATAAAACGAAAAATAAGTTAAATTATTATGATAAAGTCCATTCATTGTCCAATTTTTTTTTTGATGGGGTGAATAATATATCATTAAAAAAATGCGTTAACACTCCAGTATTTATGCATGAGAGCAGAAACCCCAAAAGAAGCGCGCGCCAGGCGCAAGAAAAGATTAAATGTTTTTCATCCAGTATTAAAATATAATCATTGATACTTTTCTTTAAAATTCTGAATATAATAATAATTCATCATGATTCTGTGATGGAAGAATCACGGGATCCAACACAGGTGTTAACTGTTGGGATATATGAGTAGGTGTTGATACTGATGACGTTGATGATCCGACAGGTGAAGCAGATCTTGCAACGTTATTAAATGGAGATCCAACCGATTGTATTATTGGTGATTGATGGTCACCAGTATTATTGTTAGAAGTGAATTGAATTTGATCCAGTGATGCGGATGGAGATCCAGCTGATTGTATAATTGGTGATTGATGACCAGTTGATGAACCAGTTGTGGCTGAAGGTGAAGTGCTAATACTCACTGGACTAATTGCACCAGTCCCAGGAGCTGCTGTTGACCAAACTTGTTGTTGATTCCAAACTAATAAAGAATCAGGATCCCAAAACGTATTATTAGGATCAACAGATCCAGTTAAATCCATTTGTTTTGTTGAATGTGAATTATTCATTGCTAGCATTGACGTAAATGATTCGGGGATTGGACCATTAAATTGTGTACTAGCATGGATCGGAATATTTACCAGCGATGAATTTAATAACGCAGTTGTTGCCTCATCCATTGAATGATGATGTTGATGTTGTTGATTATTGTTGTTATGTGAATTCATAAAAAATGATTGTTCCATCGCTGCTGCTGTATTTGCCGAATTATCAGGATCCAAGAAAGATTGAGGTTCACATGAAATATCATCCAAAAGGTACAAAGGTCTATCTTGGAATTGGGATGTTGTGGCAGCGGAATGTGATGACATATGTGTAAAGCTATCCGATAAACTTCCGGTCGTCATATGACGCTGATTTTCTTGTCCTGCACTTATCGTTGATGAAACGTTTTGTGTCGTCGCTCGTCTCTTGGGTAATGGTCTTCTAACTTTATTATCATTATTATTATTTGTCGGTGGTGGTGTGGTAGACGTTGGATATGCGGCATGTTGAATATGATTAGCAGCACAACTAGCAACCCCTAGCTGATTCGCTGTATTAAACATCATCAATACAGATGGTTGTTGTTGTGCAGCTGTGAACGCTGATTCTAACGCCAACACTTTATCACGTAATTCCCAGGCAGCGCTGTGTTCAACGCAAGCTTTAAGCACTCGTAAAGTTCTCAATAAGTGATCGGTCGCTGGTCTTGAGAATCTCATGTCAGATGAACTCATATTCGCAAGATGAATCATTGAAGCGGCAACTAAACAATAGACTCCAAAATTTCCACCTCTAATCGGAAATTGAAATACTAATGGACCCCATGTTTCAAACATTGATTGCGCCGTCTGTGAAATACTATTGGCCGCGACTGTACAAATGTTCAAATGTTGAGGATGTGGTGTTGAAGTCTTTCCATTGTCGATACTCGTGATGTAAGGTCGATGCAAAAGAATCAAGATGGTGTGATAGAGAATATTTAAGAAACCAGCGAAATGTGAAACAGGCGGTCGTGGTAAAGTACTACTGGTAATCTCTAACGCAGGCGGACATTGAAGTCTTGGTGGAAGTGCTAATATCCACGCATCCAATGCAGTATCAAGCGTTTGTAATTTTGGATTTGAAGACCATGCGGTCAATGGTGAGCCAGATCCAGCAGAAGAAATAACTGACATTACACTTGAAAGAATCTTCGTGAGTCGTACAAGATGTACAAAATCTGTTTGAATTTGTAATTCCTCCTCATCCAAATAGTCATCTTTTAATGGTAAGTCTATATCAGTGTTACTCAAAGATATTACAACATCACGTCCTGCATACAATGTTTATGTTATTAAGGTTAGTGTTACACGAGTTTGATAAGAACAATATTAAGATATTATGATAGTTAAGTTTTACCTTGTGCACCACTCATGAATTGATCACACAAGAAACAAATTTGCCAAACTCGTTTTCTTGTGATTAATTCTTCGCGTGAAATATGTATATTCCATTTATCGAAATTTTTATTTAATCCCAAATCTTGAGCCATCCGAATTATCATACCAAAGTACAACCAACTTCTAAAAAAGAAACCAGGTCGACGGATTCCTTCCTGAAATTTCAATATTAATATCTGAGCCTGTACCGTTGATAATCTTGGCGTGTCTAGAAAATCATCTAATAGATCTTTAGCGCGATTATAATAAGGGATGCCAGCAGTTTCCGGTTTCATTGGATCTGCTCTTACTGCCGGGTCATCCGAAAATTTAGCACCCATCGCAAATACCGAAAATAACAGTAGGGGTGATAGCGGATTGGATTTGTCATTTAATCGACGCAAGAAATCAGCTTTGTGTAGAATTGGGACATATGGGTGCACGTGCTTGAAATAAAGTTGAATTAAATTATTTGCTAATTCTGAATCGGGTGACGTGATGTTTGTGAACACAAAAGGGAGTGGTGGCTCTGTGAGTATCATCATTTCTTGTTCATTACTTTTGTCGCCTTCTCTAAGTAGCCTTCCTTCTTCGGTGTATATATATTTCGCACGACCGTTATATTCTATTTTCATATGTCCCAAGATATCTGTCAGCGAATCAACATAATCGACGCTGTATACTGTTTAAATTTATATATTTTTTGGATGTCAGAGGATAGGCCAAACTTTCAAATTTTTTTTTTTTTTACATCAAAGTAGAAGAGGAAGTGTGAAAAAGGAAGGCCAAGAAATTGTATAATAAAAGAATATGTAGGTGGGATAGTAAACAATAATATGTATGTATATGCGGAAAACATGTATGCATGTTTTTTGCTGTTTATATTATCATTCATTTATTTCATATATGCAGGAACGAGAGAGAAAGGTTTGGCCGACCCCAACCAACCAATTTAATGGAAAAATTTAATCTCACCTTTCTTTACATGTTTCTCATCCTCGTCAAGTTTATGTAGCAGATTTTCTACTCGTTGCAGTCGTTCGTCCATTTGTTCGGCCTCTGTTTTTGGGGCAGTTCGCTTTATCGCCATATTTGAAAATATGCAATCAATCTTCAATTTTCGACAGCTCGAGCAAGGTGTTTGAGTGCCGCCTGAGCCTCCGTCACATTTCACTTTCCTTCGACGACAAGACTCGCAAGCACGCGTAACCTTTAATCTCTTATATCTGTGTAAATCGTCAACGAAAACGTATTCCATCATTACAAGAAGAAAGTGAAAAAAAACGTGTAAAAAATAAGAAATTATTCGAGTTTAATTTTTTTGCCAAAGAGATGAAGAGTATCGATGGATTTTTAACAGCTGCTGTGATCTCGTGTGTTGCAGATAAAGTGAAACAGATATAGAAATATATAATAATAATAATAACAATGACGATAATATGAATGACAATACAATGTATAAGATACTCTGTAGTAAAGTTGTCTCGATCAATAAAAATGGGGAATAATTTCGTAACGATAAAAATAAAAAGGATTCTTATTGTTATAAGAGACCAAAATATTTTATTCTACCAAAAACACGCGACGTGTAAGAAACGTACTTCTTGTATGAAGGATGGATGTTATAGAAGCAAACAGCAAAGAGAGAAAACTATAGTGAAAAGTCAAATCCGCCGAAATTGTAAGATTCAACAAAGAAAAAATTTGTTGTTTTGTTTCTTTGTTTTATTAAGAATCAAAAAAGGAAAAGAAGAATAAAAGAAAAAAATATTATATTATTAATCCTATTAATAGTGTGTTTTTGTTTGATATATTGGCGAAGATTGTACGCGCGGGAATCCCGAAGACGATTGCTAACGATATATAACGTTGCTAGAGTTAAGAGTCGCGCGAGCGATGTGTCAAATTTAAAGAACTCTGAGAGAAAAATTGATTGATTTTTTTTTAATAACTGGAAGGAAAGAAAAACAGTTAATCTGCTGAAAGTCTGGAGTGTGTAGACTTTTTTTCTGCAAACGTGCGTCAGCGTATTTATAATGAGTCGCGGTTCATTAAAAATTATGATTTCATATTTTTATTTGGTACAAAAAGTTATTATTATATCGAGTGATTGACGTGATGAAAGAAATATGCACCACAAATTCAACTGGATGATAATAAAAAAATGTTGGAATATCTTAGAATCGTTTTTAGTATTAGTGTCAATAATAGTTAGAGAATCACAGTTTTGGAGGTTCTCTTGAAAAATGGGGTCCTTCTCGATTTCCTGATCTTATTTTAAATCAAAGTAAAATGATTTTTTTTTTATTAAACAATATACAATCTAGCATATACGCAAGCCAGAATCATAGTTTTACGTGTGTGAATGGGTAGGACACACAAAATATATATACTGTAAGAGAATATATATTCCCATTTAGAATATTTACTTTAATTAAGTGGAAGAATTATTAAGGGGTAAAGAATAACTTTACTAATTTTAATTTATTCTTTTTTGTGAACACTTTTGTATGATATTATTTTTTTATTAACTTTGATATTATATCACAACATAAAAAAGTAAATAATTTAATAATGTAAGCAAAAAAAAATTTGGTAATAAAAGAGTTGCATACCTAATTTTTTATACATATTATGCAATAATTGATATGATTATGCGAATAAAAAACCAGGTTTTTTCGTTGACATATTTTGCACCATTACCACTACTATTATTATTAATTACTATTATTATTATTATTATTATTATTATTATTATTATTATTATTATTATTATTATTTTTTGTTGTAATTTATTATTTACAACTGCTATAACTATAGTGTAGTTAGTAGTATTACTACTACTACTACTACTACCACTACTACTACTACTACTACTATTATTATTATTATTATTATTATTATTATTATTATTATTATTATTATTATTATTATTA